ACAAACTGTCGTGGCACTCACCGATCGCAGATGGTCGGAGCTTCCGAAAGGCCTCGATATTAGAGAGGAGTTGTTGGTAAATCGATCTGGCTTCCATGTGTAGCTTATTTCTCGAGCATTTTTCAGCTAACGCTATTGCGTAGGAGATTTGCGACAGTTGGTCCTCATTAGGCATAGAATGAGCCCAGATGTGCGACTCCGATCCAGCATTGATCACTTTGGTGGCACTAGCTACGGCGAAGTGTAGTTCTCCGATACTAAATATACCACTCGTCAACTTTCAACTCAATCAGGAGAACAGTATCGAGTCCGTACCATACAAGTGCCGCAACACAATCTCTCAGATGATGGGGGTCTCCATGACTGTTTTCGACTACCGAAAAGAAGTCCGAGACCGCCGTACCATAATTGTTGAAATCGGGGCGACCGGGTGCCGGCGTGGTGGACTGTCTACCGCCGACAGCAATACCATTTCCGACGCTCACTGCCTCGACTGCCGGCGGTAGGATCGTCGAGGCGATCATGCTCGCACGCTCCTCAGATACCGTGATCCAATGTAATTCCTGGCCGTTTCGATGCTTGGTGTTCTCTCCGCCGGCTCGGTTGAGCTTGCGTTTCTTTCTACCGTCCTCGAGCCTGGGTCCCGAGCAAGGAAGACTGCGGATACGACAGTGCTTGCACTCACCGCCAAGCCCCATGTTTCCGTCGGCGAAACGGCACTGCGTCGAAGAGTCAGTATAATGTACTTGGCAGACGGGTTTTGGACTCGGTGTGAAGACACATACTCTGCGGTGACCGCGAGCACACTGCGTACATCTCTTCGTTGTGTTAAGCGTCCATCCATCGGGTGGCTGGTTCGAACACTCGATATTCAAACCGGTGCAACGGTCACACTTCCGTGAGTTCGTGTTGAACTTGCACTGATTGCGATGGACGGTCAGCTTTGGTGGTAGTATGGGGGTGGAGGGGGGGATGGGTGGCCACGGTGGAGCTAGAAGATGCGTATACTTGCCTACCTTCTTGTGATCGTTCTCACACTTCCAACATCTGGGCCGTTTGCCAGGAATAATGGACTGGCCTGGGTCGGCTCTTCCGGTGATGCACATGGGCCAAGCCTCAGCGTATACGTCGGAGGCCGCAAAATATCCGAGTGGAATCGAGTTTGACATGGCAGGTGTCGGGCTGGAGGATAAAAAAATAAGGAGGATGGAATACTGGCTGTTGAGAAGCAATGTGGTTGATGTGTACGAAATCAGATAATTGAAAAGTCAAGGTGGGAAGGAGAAGATATGGGCTTACATCATGACGCGAGAGGCTATTTTTTGTTATGATTCTTTCTACAAGCACCTTGCACGATTGGCGTCAAAGAGGCTCGCGATTCGCGACGACGGAGAGAGATAAGAAAAGTTTTTACCCCTGATTTTCGTGTCTGTAACGTAACCACGAACCATTCCTACTACTATCACCATATCCAAATAATTTCAACCCCGGTATGACTTCCCTCACATACCATGCGTCGTATTGAAAGAAGCAGCTCTTTCAGTTAGATAAATCCGTTGATTTACCTGTGGATCAGTTCAACGGAGTTTGGCCGTTGGTGTGCAGTGTCTACGAGTTTCAAAATAGGAGTGTACAGCGGAACGGAGCAGTATCCAACCATGAGTCGATGATAATCCGATAAACACAGAATCAGCAGCGTCCGTGATAATGATCAGTGTCCGGTTACTGTCGAATTGACGGGTCAACTCATCGCACTGCATCCTACCGTTATTCTCGAAGGCGAAACCAAAAATTACCACAGTTACCATTTTGAAACCAGTTGCACGGCGAAAAAGCCAGCCCATCGCCACAGAAGTCGAGAAGAACTACCTATTCCGCTTCTCATATTATATTTTCGCTTGAAAACCGAAACGAAAATTTTAACCTGATGTCTAGCAACTGTTGGTATACCTACTCTTATATTTTATGGGCTGAAACAGCTGTGTATGAGGAAAACTAAATGGGAGGCCATCGCCAGCAGCGAGTCTCGAACTTGGATGAAGGAGTTTAGGGAACTGTTGCACTGTTGGTAAATTAATTTACGACCGAAGGAAATTTTCGAAAGGCAAAGGCCATGGGAGTTGTAAATAATTTCTTTTAGAATAATTTTACTATGAGACGAGTAATTGCGGCAAACATCTGAACATTATAATTTGTAGGGTTATTTAAAGGTCATTAGTCGGTATGCTAGTCGTGCTAGACGGACGATAGTATTAGGCGGACGAGGGTGTGTACATATGCCGGGGCGACGACTCTTCAACAGGTGACAGTCACACCATCCCTGTAAGTTTAGCGTTGGGCGGCTGATTCGTAGCGACTGCGCCGACCGCTAGAAAATATTTCACGGAACAACTATATACCTCGCGTGAGGAGTCCCCCAGTTATGTAGCCGGGTTGTGATACGTATCCGGCCCGGCTAACAGGTCTACCTTACTAGGGCAGCCCCCTTCCGTATGATACGACGAAAATTCCGTATCGCCCTACTTCACCGAATTAGTTGGTAGGGTTCATAGATGGTGAAGGTTGCTCCTGCTTTTCATTGCTATAACTAAAAATGATTCTATGCTTACCGGAGTTTTAATTCTGTCTTGGCCCTCCTTCTCTTCACCTTCCCCTGTAATGTCACCACCCCCTTTGGGGAAAGGTGGAGCAAAGGGGAAGGGGAAGACACGGAATAAATTTAATTGATTCCGTCCGTTTAGCGGGTGTCCGAGTCATTATCGGGATTTTTGTTTTATATATCTATATGTATAAAATAACAAAATGACCACACAAAACTTCTCGTTGGCCCTCCATTCTGGACCAAGAAAACGAAGAAACATAGAAATAGTACAACACACACGTGATATTAAGTTTTTCCCTTTTTTCTCTCCATCCCCCAGGGGGGAGACAGAAAACATAATTGAGTATCTAGGGTGTGGGAATCTACACAGAAGAGAGGGTAGATTACTTCCACTATCCATGTAAGTAATCTATCAGCTATACTTGATATTATGATAGCCTTTTTTGATCGTTATCCTCTACAAGGTTCTAAAAAGGTAAACTATCAAGATTTTTGCCGTGTAGTTTTTATGTTGAGGGATAGAGCTCACTTGACAAAAGAGGGGTGTGAAGCCATAGCCCAAATTAAATCAGGTATGAACAAACAAAGAGTTTACGAAGTGCCTGAAGATTCGGACACATTAAACGAGAACCACCAATCTCGAACCAAGGCACTCTCATGCTGGAGTCCGGACTGAGGCCCCCAGAAGCCCAGCTCAACAACAGCCATGCGCAGATGAGTGCAACGTCGGCGAGAGGAAACGGATGCACTTAGTGTAGCTTCCAGTTAGGGCAGCATGGGGAGGGAGTGAACTTGGGAGGTTGTCCGAGAGGCCTCCTCTCTCTCTCTCTCTCATCATCACCATTTTGGGAGGCGAAGGCACAGTCACGATGAACGACGAACTCGCGGCCAAAGCCCATGCGATAGGCTGGTTGAAAACCCGTACGGTCCAGATTTCTTGATGGACAAGGGAGGATCTCGGCACGGAAACATATCAAGGTCCACACGGGGCACGTGCACAGCCTACGATGCGCAGTGCGCAACCATTGCCTGAGCAGTGGGCACTGGAAGCGGCCTTCAGGAGGATTGGTGAGGACGTTGAAGCACCCTGCCCCCGGCCAGAAGTAGGCCATGCAGGGCACGGAAAAACCCTTCAACACCCTCCTCCACTTGAGGGAGCCCGAGATCATTTTTGAGATTGGATGAAACAGTGGTGCCGCGGTAGGGCTTGTGGATCATGGTGATCACCACTTTTTTTTTAAAAAAAAACAATTAACAACCACAGGGCAAATGAGTACATACATCGCCTCCTATCGGTTTGCAATCAATCCACCTTCGATCGAAAATGTTTCGTGGCACTGTTGTAATGTTTACTGTTACATAGATGGGGCGTTTGCGGTGCGCCGGTGGCCGCTACATACTCTGCATTCAACGCCCGCATCCTGTGTGTGAGGACGTGATTATCCTACCGACATCAGCACTCCGAACGAAAACATTATAGTACACATCACTCCTTTTCGACGCCACCGAAGCATCGTCGTCGTTTTTGTTCATCGGCACACTTTTGTGCTGAGTCCCCCACCACATCATACCTCGCCCTCCTTGCACAGTGCAAGACAGTGTTATCCATCGTCCGGTCCAGACGGCCAAAATACCGGACGTCCCTAGCCTAGGACAGACGGTTGCAAAAATCCCCCGTCAGGTCCGAGCTTGGGACAGACGGATCGGTCCCAGTCCGACCGACGGTGGAGGACAACCGTCCAAGTCACGTGAATAACTACATTTCTGAGCACCGATTCCAACATCACCGCGTCGGTTTATCCCTTACCGCTCCACAAGCTGTGAAAAGTAGCAGTATTCTAACTAGGATGCCTAAGGTGCGGCGCCCGGCCCTTACCACCGCGCTGCAGGCACCATATCTCACTCGGCCAACCAAGGTCCACGCCCGAAATCGGGGTTTCAGCCAAGGCTTAGCGGACGGCCGTCGTCGGCCGTCCTGCGCCGAATATCTCGTTCGCCCCCTGAAAAAACCTTAGCTATCACGTCCTAGGCTCGTACGGATGGGAGGCACGCCGTCCGTCCTCGTCCGAGGCTCAGGACTGACGGACCGGACGATGGAGAACACTGGTGCGAGGCATCCAATGGTCCTGTGATGTAGTGGTAAGGCACTCCAGGCATGCGTTGAGGACATGGCCATGATATCGCGGTTCAACTCGTTGCGAGTTCCTGGGTTCAAGCGAGGATGGACTCTATACGCAGTCGACGTTTCAGCCGGTGGCGACAAGTTATCCAGGCATTTCATCCGACCCTTCTCGATCCGCTTTGGATAACCATTTCGGGCCAATTCGCCAGTCGGTCGTTGTCCTTGTCGGGATCATTCCCTGCGAATGGCACTTCCCCGACCCAAGATTGGAGAACCGTTTCTTTCCTTGTTACTCTATTACTGTAGATATCCAGCCCCCACATCAACTAAACGTACAATCCTCTTCTCTCCACGGATCACCACTGTATGCGTACACCGATCATGATCATAACCCAACCAAAGCAAAAGCAAAAGCAAAACCCCAACGCCCAACCGCAGACAAAACTCGAGAATATGCAGATGCAGCAGAAAACAAAAAAGCAGAGACAACCACCACCAACGCAAGGAAAAAAACTCCAAGAAGATACCATCTACGCCCCCCAACTCCTCCCGTACCCGTAACGATACCCGTACTGCTCACTCGGCCCGGGCAGCCGCCGCTGCTGCCGCACCTCATACGGATACCTTTCCTCCTGCTCCCTGAGATCGACATTCCAGTACCTGTTCACCTCCCCGCTACCACTACCACTGGTACTCTCACACTCACTAACACTCTCAGCATGATGCCGCTCATCATCCGTCCACTCCGAGCTGCCACTACCACTGCCGCTCCAGTCCTCCTCAAACTCGGTCACGGCACTGTTCCGTACCGCGTTTCCTGCACCCGCACCGGCACCGGCACCTGCACCTGCACTTCCACCTCCACCTCCCCCGCCGTAGCCGTAGCTCCGCCCGCTAGGACTGGGCGACGGCGCCGTCACCCGCACCGCCGGAATGGGGATCGTGGCAGCGTTGATGTCGTCCGGCGAGTAGTAGATCGACACGCGCCGCTGGATCTGGCTCGGTGGCGGCCAGGTGCCGGCTGCATTGAGCGGCGATGCGATCATGGGCGGCGGCGGCGGCGAGGGCGGCGCGGGGGACGGGGTCTTGGAAGCTTGTGTGGAGGAATTCTGGCGGCGGGCGAGGAAGGCGCCGAGCAGGAGGAGGATCGTGAATGCGATGAGAGAGCCAACAGCGATTCCGGCTATTGCGCCGGTGGATAGGGAGGATGCGGCGGCGGCAAATGAGGATGAGGCTGCGGTGGTTGAGGTCGTTGATGATGTGGACTGGGTGGATCCGAAGGTGCTGGTGGTGGTGGTGGAGGTTGAGGTGGTCGAGGCAGATGTGGTCGAGGCGGAAGCGGTTGTGGAAGCTCTTACGGAGCTGCGGGAGGAGACTTTTGAGGTGCTGCTGGCGGCGACCGAGCCCGTCCTCGTCCTCGTACTCAAAGTCGAGACCCTCGTCCTCGTACTAAGATTTGGTACATTCGGCCGTGTCGAACTCTCTGCCGAGTGCTCGACGAACGGACCACCGCCGCCGTCGTGGTCACCATCACCGGCGGCGGCACGGCATTCGTCGCATCGGGCGTAAACGCACCAAACCGTGCCCGATAGTATTCCTCGAACTCAGGGTCCTCGCTCGCATCGCCGGCACAAACGATATCCTTATACCGCCCCAACAATTCCCTCTGGCGACCAACAACGGCCGGATCGCACGTAGCCAAGCATGCCGCCAGTCGACTGGTGTATTCCGAAGCGTCGGCGGTGGTGCTACTGCACCAGCAGGATGACTGCTGAAGTGGACTGCGACCCTCGGTGCAGAACAGGCGGAGCGATGTCTGGCAGGTGTCGCCGCAGATGTCGAATCCGGGACCGTAGCCGACTTCTGCGGCGGCGAGGACGAGGTGTAGCAGGATGAGGAGAACGGCAATGTGAATTCTGTGGCTGTGGCTGTGGCCGCCGCCGCCACCACCACCACCGGGCGAT